TCACTATCCCACCAAGGAGGGGAGGGGATTTTTCCTTTTGGAGTAGATTTCTCCGGAAAGCAGTCCTTAGCTGTAGAAGCTATTACGTCAGAAAATTGGGAGAAACACTCCAAAGCGTTTTCAGCGTTAACGGAAGGTAATGCAGAAATGCGCAGATCTAATAGTTTGGAATATTGATCCCAATCAGCTGAGTTTAGCCGATATTTTAATAAGGGAGGGAGAGATTTATCAGGGATGGATTTGGACGGGTTCTTAATAATAATGGGATAGTGATCACTACCATAGGTCATATCCAAACAACTCCAATTCAGCACACTAGCCACACCAGATGAGCAGAAAGTCAAGTCCACACAACTGTTTCTTTGACCAAATGCAGATCTACGGGTGGGGCTGCCATCATTAATGACGCATAAGTCGAGGTCATCCAGCATGTCTACTAGGTCATGACCTATGCTGTCGCATATTTCAGACCCCCATCGAAAGTGATGGCAGTTAAAGTCGCCCATTACAAGTAATGGACCACTTACTGAACTTAATAAGTTTTTAATGGAAATGATATGACTATTTTGAGGGTGGGCAATATAAAAAATAAAAATGTTTATGTCCTCAGCCTTAACAGCGACAACATTTATGTCATCGCCAACGAAGGGTAGAGGGATCTGGGAGAAGGGTACTTTGTTATTAACTAACAAAGCACAACCTCCATAACCATCAGATCTGTCCTGTCTGACAACACTGAAACCTGGGATCCTGAAATTAATATTCGGTAGGAGCCAAGTCTCAGCAATGCCACAAATTTGTGGGTGATACTTATTAATTAGGTGGAGTAAGTCACTCTTCCTGGGAAGAGTACTCCTCACGTTCCACTGAAGGAGAGTGAGCGGAAGGAATTTTATAGATGTATTCTAAAATTGTAGCTAATCTTTGTGCAACGTGGTCAGGTACAACTTGGGCAGGGTTGGATAACACCGCCATCAGCATATTTGAGATAATATTTAAAATGTTTTTGGAGCTATGCTTGTTGGTTCCGGATTCCACAGGGAAAGCGCAACCATTTTGAGATGGGGAAAAGGAATAATCATGGATAAGGGCCTGGTGGGCCTTCTTATCATAACTGGGGGAAAGTGGAGCATGGGACTTGGGTTTAAGTAAAACTGTTTTTTTATAGGATACTCTCTGTTGGGATGGTTTTTTGGTTGGAGTGGATTCTATGTAATTAGTTGACCTCGACACCTCAGCATATGACCTTTTGACAGTGGGGAAGACTTGGCTTGCTTCCGCATAGGATATAGATTTTTCCGCCATTAAAGCTTTTATGCTTTTTTGGCGGCCCAACTCTGGACAGGCATTGTCGTTAGCAAAGTGATTGCCATTGCAGTTAATGCAATGTGCAAACTCCAATGAGATTTGACATCCATCGCCAGGATGATCCTGACCACACTTAAAGCAACGTGGTTTTGAACGACACAAAGTGCGGGTGTGACCAAATCGACAACAGTTGTAACATTGTATAGTCGGGTATGAGTATAATTCTACTGGGAGGGCGGAGTAGAAACAGAAAACTTTCTTAGGTAAAATTTGGCCATCAAACGTCAGGACTACAGTCTGGGTAGGTTTCCATTCTGTTCCATTCAGTGAAGACACTTTTCTATTCATCCTCCTTGCCTTTATAACAACACCACATCCCGCAGGGACCCTGATGTTGCTAATTATCTCTTCCTCCGACCACTCAATGGGAACATCCCTTACTATACCCATTCTGGTGATATTGAACTGAGGGATTGAGGTTGTATAACTTTGTGCAACCACACAGTTCACAAGAAAACTGTTGGCATCCTGGTGGGACTCAAACTCAACCGAGATTCTGTTCCTGCCTATTCTTTTTACACCACCGATTTTGACGTTGTTAATGTTGTTCCGCATTAAAAACATCCCAAATTTTACCGGGTGAAGAGTAGTGCCAGTCGTCTGGGAGTCCTTAAGCGAAACATACACTATGTAGGGAGGGTTGTCCCTAGCGGTGTAGCATTGTCTACCGTTGATGCTTTTCGCTAGTTTCGGCGGGTTATTACGGGCGACAGGGGGGGAGCCTGCGGGTCTTTTTCTATTTGATGCTGAATCAGAGTCCGTTAATTCGAGGTCTGGGTTGTCATGGGGAAGAGTGACGGTTAAAATAGGCTTAAGATCGGGGGATTTATCAGGAGGGTCGGGGGGTTTCTCCGCGTCCATCTTGGACAAAGGAGACAAGTAAAAGGAAGAAACAATTAGTAAAAAATGTTAAAAATACCAGTACCTTATTAAAAACGACACACAAACACACAATAAAAACAACACAAAATGATTCAATTTAGATCACTATGAATAAGATCACTAAAATTGACAACAATCGCAGTACCGAAAAGCACGTGTGTACCCTTCACCACTACCGACGAAAGTCAACATTTGTTATGAAATTAGTACTAAAATCCAATCAGTTTCTACTCCTTGTTTTTGACTCTTTTGACATTGACATTAATTTAGGGTTGCCAATTCATTTACAAAAAATTCCTTGTATTTAACTTAAAACAACAAAAAATATTTTATTGATCATTAAAATGTCAGCGATATAGTTAAGTTAAAGTAAAACCGGAGTATTGATGGTTAGCGTGGATAGGTTACCATAGTGTTAGGGAACAAGTGAGTTCATTTATTTAGTATCTGTAAAGTTGTTTTATTAGTAAAAGAAGATTTCGAATTACAATTTCAAATTAATTTTTTCCCTTTAAGCGGGGAAAAACCTTCATGTGGTCAACCCAGTAATGCACTGTACTTGTATGTCATGTTATGAATGTGATGTTCAATTAATAGTAAAAAAATAAGCTATGGTTTTTTCTGATTCTGTATCTTTACATTTGAAAAAAGATCTATTAAAATTGCAATGCTATTAAAAGACTGTGCATGCGGTAACCTGATTAGCTGATTACTCATTTGATGAAACACCACGTAGGTAATGGTTGTTTCACGCCGGTTTTATATGCAGCGGCGACTTCTCGCACCCGGCCTTACTCAAGGCCGTGGTGCGGAGCGAGAGGAACTAGGAAACCGTCTCCTCTTTCTGAGAGGCATTTATGCTTGCAAAAAAGGAGGCGGAGCGCGAGAGGGAGCTATCTTCCTCTTTACGTCCTAGCCGCCGCAGTTGGCAACACTGCGGGCGTTGGACGGCGGACGGCGAGTAAAGGTAGGTAGTTCGCCGCCCGACCAGAACCAGACTCGAGCGTACGGCGCGTTGTGTTCGGCTTGCGTGTCAAAGAGCCAATAGACCACCACAGACGGGGCCGTGTAGGGCTGATGCTTAGTCGGGGTTGCGGGGCAAGCTTATTAAGCACCGCGGCTTCCGCCTAGGGCAGGAGAAGAAAGGGTGGGTTTTTTTAGTCAGTAAGAGTGTGATAGTTAAGACACACAAAACAGCGGTTTTTATCATTCCCGTCGAGCCGGCCCACTGATTTCATAATTTTAAAGTAAGTAGGTAGTAAGGATGTTTTTTTTGTGGAAACATTATATCATAAGTGGTGATATCCGTGAACCTACAAGGACATAGGTAGGTACCTAATTCATGTCAAAGTACCTAAGTACTTATATTTAGGTTTTTAAAATTTAGCAAAGAGTTTTGGGACTTACCTACCTATTCAATTCGAGTAGTTGTCAACTACCACACAGAGTAGAGGTACAGGCGTTCAGGATCTTTTGGATAATACTTTTGCAGGAGCTATCCTGCTCCTCAAGCTCCACCCAACGCAGTAGGCGACACTCTGGACGTCGGAGATCGAGCGACGCGACGGGGATCTCCACCGTAAGCGTCGCCGTTCTGTCTGCGGAAGTGCGGTCGGCGAACAAGTGAAGTGCGAACGGCGGGCAAAAAGTAGAAGAAGCGTTCCGTGCGATTGTAGACGCTGCACACCGTAGCGTCAATCTTTCTCGTAGTAAAAACGTATATTATGATAGGATTATGAATTTAAACGATCCAGTCTTTTTTAACACTTACTACTTATGTGGTCGTTTGTGTAACAATGTCAAATCAAAATCAAAGTAGGTACATAATACCAGTTGCATTGAAAGTAAAACTGTTGTTGTTTATTTTTGTACCTGATTTAGGTTTTTTTCGAAGAGGACTGAAAGAAACGACTTAGTGTTAAGTTAATGTTATAGGTAATTAAAAGGAAAGGTTTTCAAAACATATTAGGTAGGATCTTACGTAAAAGGCTAGAAGAAGAATAATAAGAAACAAGTTGTCACCTAAAAGACAACACAAGCTTCATAGTTGACGACTGTTGTTATTGTAGTTGTTGTAAGACTGCACGGTTGGTGCGGTGGCTGGGCAACTGGCTGCCGTGCAACGTGTCGCGGGTTTGATTCCCGCACGGAACAACTCTTTGTGTGATCCACAAATTGTTGTTCCGTGTCTGGGTGTGATGTATATGAGAATTTGTATGTTTGTAAACGCACCCATGACACAGGAGAAAATCCTACTGTGGGGCAACGTTTATTAAAAAAAAAGTATCATACATCTTCATCACATTGATATTGTAGGTCCCTACCCGTCCCACTTTTGTTAAGAAAAAGTATACTTAACAGTATACCTACCTACAGTATAATTATAAGACGCTAACAAACACACTTCTTGGAGAGGGTACTTCGATAAGACTGAAACATGTGTCGAGTTTTGGCAAAGAAGACTCAAACATTTGCCGGGGTAGCACCGTAGCACATGTCTTACGAGTTTGCGCGCAAGGTTACAATATTGTTATTGCCACTTGTTGGGCGCCACTAAGCTCAGTTCGCGGGCGGACCCGCGCCTGGCACGTGTCCCGCGCCTCTCCCGACTCCGCGCACTTTTACTTTCCCGATAAACTTTACCGCTACTTCCTAAGGACGTGCGATACTATGGGAACAAAGTTCAAAGTGAAAGAAGGTGAAATGAAGTGATTGTTACGTTTTGAATCGGTGTGAAGCGTGGAAGGACCATGTCTCGAAGGAAACAAGCTAAGCCGAGGTCTTTGAAACGTAAGTTTTGTTTATATTTTGTACAATAAGTACAAGAAATGATAATAAAAATTTATACTTTTGGGTCTGAATATGGAACTTTTATTGTTTATCTTTCAATTATTCTTCATCAGTGAATTCACTGATTGTTATAAAGTGCTTTGTGCTCATAATATCATAGGTACTATCCGATAATTTTTAAAGAACAATTTCCACTTGATTGTTTAAATTGATTGTAAAAAGGGTGTTTTATAACGATTTCGAATCAAACTTTAGTTTTGCAAACCTAAACTTGTATAGGTACCTAAGAAATACAAAGATAAACTTATGATTAGGTAAACAAATATATATATCAAGCATTTCTTAAAATACCTAGTTGGCAGTGTATAGGTGTTAAATACTTATATTTTAAAAGTAGCCACTAAGGAATCGCTAAACTGCACCTAGTCGTTAGTTAAATTATTTACCTTATCAGTAAATCGTTTAAGATGAAAGTTTATAATTCAGACAGATGTATAATTATCTTATAAAACACAACATTTGCGTGGTGTAAATAAAGTATTAATCTAGATACATCTGAAAGTATTAAGTATACTAATAAAGCTCACTAAATATACACACTAAATTTAAGTAATTTGAATTTTTAAGAGTAGGTACCAATTACAAATAAAGTATTTAATGCAAAACATCTTAATATTCAAGTTCACCTCTGCTAACGCTCATTTTGGCTTTTTTAGGGGGGAAATCATCGAATGGCTTCTCCCGCCAAGAGAAGGGCGTAAGAGAGAGTCACACACTCTTACTGAATAAAAACCGGCTTCTTCTCCTGCTATAGGCCGAAGCCGCGGTGCCTCATTGCGCTTACGTCATTATGATTAATGATTCCCATCCATCATCATCCAAAGATATAATAAAGTATACAGATTATTGCCCCTGTCATGTCCTGTCTCCTGTCTCAAGGTACCAAGACTGGTGAGAATGCCTGAGGCATAGAGTCCGCTTATGGCCTATCTGTGTTCACGAAGTATTTAATAATAAAACCGTTTAATAAATAAAATTTGAAATTGGAATAAAACCTTCATGCAGTTTTTTATTTCAGTCTCTAACTTTACCCAATTACTAATATTCGCACCTGAGCTCCATTCAAATTAGGTGCGAGGGTCCGCAGTTAAAGTAAACAATTAATGGCGTCGCGTCAATGAGAGGGCGTCGGTCCCTGTGATGGACGGTCCGCAGCGCGATGCGGTCGCGGGCGTCGCGGCGCCCTAATATCAGCGTTTTATCAGTGACGGATCGCGGTTGCAATGTTTGTATCCTCTGCAGCCAGACTGCAGGCTTAAACGATGACCCGTCGTCATCACTGACGCGTTCGCTTCCTAAACTGACTAGATTAAATATTAGCTTGATTAAATCGTTTTAGAATATGGTTGATTGAGATATCAACTAACTAATTAGGTATTTCCAAATTATCTATAATGTCATTTCAGACGTACCTTTAACTTAAACCTCTTTGAATCTCTACATTGCAGTGAGAGAGTCAGTTTCAAATTATTATTATGCCCGTCGAGTAATAAAGCTTACAGATTATATGTTTAATACCTCGAATACACTTTTATGTATGAGAAAGTGGCAGACCAGAGGCAGCTTAGAAATGGATCGTCTAATGGCAAACAATCGGTGCCGCCCATGGATACCAGAGGAATTACAAGTATATTGCCGACCTTAAAGGTCAGGGATTTGGGAATTGAATGTCCGATAACATCACCAGCTTGGTAAAACACATGTTAGAAACTGAACTAACCTGAAGTATTTGAGTCCTTGCTGAAACTAATTGAAGATGAATACTGAAATTGAGCGTCTACTTTCGAATCTCGATTCGGTGGCAAGAAGTTTTATTAAAACAAAACCTGCAACCGCTGGTGTTCTGGAGAGGTGGAAAGATGGAATTATGATGACACTCATCCTTCCAGAGAATATGAACGTAATATATACTTAAGAAATTATGTCGCAGTAGGTCAGTAGCTGTTTATTTCTGTTGGCAGTTTCGGTCAGTTTTGACCTAACACTCACTCTTCAACTAAAGACCTTGGTTTATTTGATGGCGTAGAATCATCAAATTGGTTCTCTTGCCCAGGACGAGAAAGAGTTCTGAAACTCCTTCATACTTACACCCTATTGCTTTTCCTGCTCCAGGCCAGGGCCTTGGTGACTTATAACGCTGGCCCCGCAACTCAACATAAGGCCACTTAGACCGTTACTTGAATGGTTGTTCAGATAGTTGGCTGAGACATATACGTGTATATGAAAGGTTAATCTTATAATTAAACATAAGACAATGTCGTCTCAAACATATAAACCAAAATACCTTTAGTTTTACAGTTCACAGAGTAGAGAGAACAATGTTATTTGTTGCAGAACTAACAGCTATGTAATGTAGTAACTTTATGTATCGATCTAGTGGCGTCTAGTACTTTCGTAATGCGTCCCAAAGGACGGTGAGGATGCTGCGACTCTCCGAATGGCTCTGGGGATACCTAATGCAATACTAGCTCTTCAGTACGTTTGTCTATACGTATAACGCACTGTATGTATGGCTAAATATTGCTTATTATGTAATATAAAGAAAAACTGATTCTCGTATTAGTATCTCGTTAATAATGTAATTTGGAAATCTTATTTGTAATTCATGGTTTTGTGTCGTTGCATCCGCTTTGAAAGGTTTTCAAAATTATCTCAGACGATGGCATCCAGTACTCTCCTCATCTTACATTTTTTAAACTAATGAATAGCTTGGGTATGTTGTCCAGTACATGCAATAATTAATTACGATTTTTATGAAAGGTACCGATACTTTAACTTTTTATCCAAGTGCCCTTGTACCTACTATTACCTCCAAGAACTAAAATTCTCTAAACAAATGACCTGTAATTTCTATTTATTTTTGATTATGATTTGTTCTATACAATACAAAATTCGGTGGTAGGTTACCGCTGCCCTCACTGGGGTCCAATAACACGTCAATTTCAGCGTCCCGTGCCCCGTCCCTCATGCGAAGGAATTAAAATTTTACATTCAGTGAAAATGTTAATCCTTCCCTGTCCCAGGCATACAATAAAAACGAATTGCCGTATCTTGAATTGTTTACTCAATGTCGTTTTCTACCTGTGTCCGAGTTTTCAAGTATCATGATGTGTTTGTCTTTACCTTCGCAACTTATGAGTAAATGTGTGCCTATAGCACCAATAGTTGATGGTGGAAATCCACCATCAACTATTACAATACTTGTAGCAGTGAGGGGAAAGTCATCAAATGACTTCTCCCACCCAGGGTGAGGCGGGAAGGAGTATCAGCTCTTACAGACCAAAAACCCCCGTTCCTTCTCCTGCTCTAAGCTGAGGCCAGGGTACTTACAGCAGTAGCAAGCACTTTTTCAATTATGTATGTCTCTAACCTACCAAACTGCTGTCATGATTACAAAATAGGTAGGTTTTTTTTATAAAACTTGAAATAACAATCAGCTTTACTAGTCTTATCACAATAATTTCACTATTAAAACAAACAACTCTTTTCGTAACATATTGCCTTCAACCAAGAAGTTGATCAGTACACCGATTGAATCTCCAAAACGGTATACTCATTACAGTAATAAGTACTTATTGATTTTAATTTTTAACGAAGCCCCATTATTTTATGGGCATCCCGCCAACTTACGAATACACAGAACGAACATCGTAAGTTACATATAATATTCAAGCGTCCAGATTGTTGAAATATTCAACCGGGTCCATGGTCCATGGTATGCATAATTTGTAATTACATTATGTATGTAACATAGCGGATTGATCGAGGATGGAAGGTGTAAAGATCACAATAAACCGTATATGAATGTTTTATTCGAGGTAAAAGCCTCGGATGGACGTATTTGTAAGCCTTTTGAAGAGGGTTAAGTCAATTTGACTTTGTGCGTCAACTTTTTTACTGAGCTTATTCGATCCGCTGTGTTCACTGAGTACACTAATGCAGTTGGGATAAACTCATTTTAAAATTAAGTGGCGTTGTGTCTTAACGACATTGTTTTAATCAATATATATAAGTACCTACGTCTACTGACGATTCAGAAGCACATTATTAGTATTTTTATTATATAAGTTTTTGAGCTAATTAATGAAAATTAATCAGTGTTTAGTTGTTCGGCACTTAGTACGTGAGCACCGTTAGTGTAACGATAAGAAGTTGATGGCTACGCCAGGGCGCGGGGCTAGCGCGGGGTGCTCACAGGGCTGCCGAAACTAATCAATTTACACCACCCACTATTAGGTACTTACTAATAATATCTAATTGCTATTCAAATACAAAATTGACACCTAAAATAAATACTGTAAGGTTGAAAAACATTTTGAATAAAAATTCCTGTTCGTCAGTTGTTTATCGGTGTCATAAGCTGAAAAGTATTAAAAGTCTGTGTTGGTAGTTACAGATGCCTGCAGCTAATTACTATTACTATAACTTATTAGCTATTTAAAAATAATATTATCAATAAAGAAGTTATGTGCCTAATAAGTTATACTTAATTGTGTTTGGTTTGTAGCAAGCGTGCAGTAAATTCTCTCCATGTTTGCCTTTGGGGAAAGCAGGCTCTAAATTATTTCCAATGTATGGTAGTAAAGGTCTACCAGACCTACAGAAGTCGTTCTAGAAGCAGTAGCAACCCTAGGCGTTGCGCGTCCATAAAACTTGTAGAGGCCCCGCAGAGAATCGCCGGGAAATTTCCCCTGGGTGGCGCGCACCTCCCCTGCGCCTCTGGGAAATACGCTAAAGCCATATCATAACAGTTTTATGTTGATGTTGACCTCTCATCTACTGCTGGCTGTCCGTGAGTTGCTTAATCGATGTCATTTACTGTGTGAAACTGCGAAATCAGCAGCATTTTGTCTCATTATTCATCATTAAGATTGATTATCTCTTTCTTTCATCGCTATCTTGCTTCATCTATGTTTAAAAATGAGCAGATTTTCGTGCTTAACCATTTGATCTATATTATTATTTAAGTATTCTCAGGAGTATGCCTAATTATCTATCTCTATTATGTCTATGATATTTGTATTACCTAAACGAAGTGTATTGTAAAATATAGAACGTTTTTCAACTCATAGATTTTCACTAATACTGTTAGCGTGTTTAATATCGCATCCTTATAATAATTAAACTAGACTTACCTATGATGTATTATGTAGCCGCGCTTCCATTCCACAAGGAATTTGTGTGAAATGAAATGACACTGTTACATGTTTTATATATTAAAGTTCGCGCATTGGATAAGTAAAACAGAAAAAAAATGTAAAACATTAATGCAATCTGTTAACACGGCGAGGAATTCTCTTTTCAAATCCCAGTTGACTGTCATAAATCACTCACCTGTTTTGCGCAAAAATCCATAAAAGGTAACAATAATAATGTGGGCTAGGTACCTACATTATGAATCACATTAAGTATGAAGGATTTTTAATATCATTGTGTGAATGTGTGTTGTCTTATTTTTGGCTCGTCTTTATCCATTGTGTACTTATTCCGGAAAACATTTTAAGCAGTAGGGGTACACTGCGTGAATTTCACTGTTTACCTTAGGATCTGTTCAAGATTCAGAGCTGAACTGATGTAATTAGGTACCTGTACGAACAAGTCAAATGAGCTTTGCTTATGCTTCTTTAGGAACTTCAGAAATGCATTTTATACCGAAGGTTCATTTTTATATTCAACCTAAGATTTGAGGCTATTCTGAGTTACACCCATATAACTTTGGAGTATATACATACGCATATCTCATGATATAATTATGTAGCACGAGTATCTACAGTGACTAAAGCGTAGTTGTAGTAACTCCATTGTAAAGTAAGCTTTCACCTACTTACATTGAATCGCTTTCAATGTGAACTAGTCTTTACGTAAAGCACTTAGATAAAATCTGATCTGAGAAGTTTTCAGGAAATATTTAGAGTACTCATGTGGCTTAACAATTTTCTGAGAGTCGAGCATAACAGTATCTGTTAAAAATATCACGGTAGCGTCGTTGTGAGGTCCCCACTAGGTGGTGGGTAGTGGGGGGATAGTCCCAGAGGATGGCAAGTTCTCGCCCGCCGCCCGCGCGTCGTCCCGCGAGGCCTGGCCCAGGCAGCCGCGTGCCGCCTGCTCCCACGGGACTTCGCCCCCGCTACCTCGCCCCGCGCTGCCCCGCTCTCCTCGCGCGCCTCGCTCTCTAAGGAAAACACCAGCTGAGACGTTTGACTTTTAATTGATAGCTAACCCTTATCTATCTTTACTTGTGTTTAAAAGCTGAAACGTTAAAAGCTGTACAGGTAAAACGAGACATTCGAGACGTTTAATTACATTTTTAGGTCGGTTTTAATTTCTTTGACTAACCTTAACGTTGCGTCTTTTAGTCCCCAACCGTGCCGACAAGGTACGAGTATGTACTAGGTGAGGTTATTACTAAACGTTGCAATCATTTTGAGACTGTACTTTTACTATCCGGGTCTTAAAATGGACCGAGGACTTCTTTCGACACTAAACTGACGACGCTACAATTCCATTCATATGTAATTTAGTCACATTTTAAATTACTTTTTGCAACAAAGTCATTTTACCTATAATAAATAAATTGTATCAGTTCATGTAATAATTAAACGATTTACAGGTACAGGCGGCACATAAAGTTTGTGCTTGAATGAAGGTATCCTTTGACATCGGTCACAGAACAACAAACTCAGATATTTCGATTACGGAAGCAGCATGCATAATAGATCGGTAATGGAGAGTACATTGTACATGTTGAGTGTACATTAGTTAAGGGTGTAGCTCGGGCACCGGGCGCTGCCAGGTCCTGCCGGCCACCTCGGGGAGCCCGGCTACTCTACTATTCCCACTCGACATCATACCGACGCCTACGAACACATTAAAATTACAGTTTCCAAGGATATACAACTGAGCGAAACTACAATGACTTACGCTGAGATGGGATTGTTATTATTCCTTTGTGCTCCCAGGGTACTTAATCAAAATTATTAGTTACGTACCTACAACATTTAGTGCCTCCCGTGGAGTAGGTTAATGCCTTCTGCGCTTAATTTTGCCCAACAGCTTACGCGTCTGGTCCCTGATGCTGTACATATGAAAATAAGATTTTCAAATGCCCAACTCTCGCAAAAAGATCTTGTGGATACTGAATATACTCAGATTGGTCAAAGAAGTCCTATAACTTAATGAGTAGGTAATAATATGTCGACGTTATAATCGTATCCAATCCAACAGATACCGTCATTGGCAATTTGTACCATTTGACAAAGCTGAAAAAAAAATCAATAGATATGGTCAACAATAACGTCGTCGTTCGTGGTCGGTCGTCAATGGTGCCTACAATAACAACATGATCGAAGACATCTTAAAAAACCAACTTGTTTATGTAGAAAATTTCGTTTCGTATAAATAATAAGCAATAGCAATACAGTTAGCTAGAAAATTGAATTGGAGTTGGTATCGGCGCGGGCGGCTCTTTGGTGCCGAATGGTTCCCGCGCGGCACATTGCGCGCTCGAGTTATGATGGGCTATCGCGATGGTGCTAAGATGGCGTGGACCTCGTGCCTCGCTATTCCCTGTAAAATTACTATATGCTGTAAACGATGTATGGGCTGCATCCTATTTGGAGACAAGACGTCTTTTTTTCTTACTCATTCATGGTATAAAATTTTAGGGCTCACCCAATGAAAACTAAACGAAGCGCTTCTTTGCGACCAGAACTGGAGTTTGAATTCAGATAATTTTATTCGGGATAAATATTCAGCGTACACGATTGATTTTTATCTTTTAAACTCCTTATTGCATGTGATTAAAAAACTGCTGATGATGTTTCAATAACAACAATTATGTAGTAAATTTTATCTTCTGTGCTTCGTAAGCATCGAGCTATCTGAAACATGGGCTCATTCTGTGTCAATTACACACGCATTAGTACAACAATTAATAATTTGATTCATTCATCGGCTCTATAACATAGGCTTGACGTCGCTAGATGTCGTAGCAGTACACTAAGGTGTACTTGTGACAAAATATTACGTTTATAACATCGGCAATGTATACGACCAGCGCTTCGGGCAATGTACGAGTACCCTAGCATTGCTAGGATTTTGCCTCCGGCCTGCTTTTGATGAATCGATGGACATTCCCCCGGGCCACTGGGCTGGACTCGGTCCTTTGGGACGTCATACTACGCGTAGCCTTAGCTCATCTAAATATGAAGGCCTCCCAACTCAACTGATTTATTAATGTGATGACGTTTGAAGGTTTTTAATAAATAGGATAACTTGCGGTTCTAAAGCACCACATAATATATTTATATGTATGGAATGAACTGTGTCATACATAAGGAAATGATCACAGCAGAACATAAACCAGGATTGTACTTCATTGTACATAAGACATCGAATTCAGCAGTTTGGTTGATTATCGCAGAACAAATATGTAGGTAGAAATGACCTGATTTAACGAAAGCATTGTGATTTCCTGATTTCGTGCTTAACATAGTTTACATTGACAACAAACCGGGAGTGACGATTTTTCCGTAATGTCCTCAGCTTTGTGTTTAATTGTATAATTCGAAGTGTTGTGTGCCGAGTGAGGGCGCGGCCGACGACGGGGCACAATCACGCCACGGCCCCGCGCCCTACCACTGCCGACCGGCTAATTATGTCACCAAACTAGTTCCCATTGTGGATTTGTGTTACTTTATTAGGAAATATTCAGTTCGAAATTCGAAAAAAAAAACGTAGTATTTTAAAGTAAACGATATCTTATGATTGGATAAGTACCCGAAACAAACAAATCACGTAAAATACTAAAGGGTCACGTCGATTGACCAGTGTATTCTTATCCCAGAATTATTGTTAGTAATGAAGTTTAATAAAAAAAAATGCGGTTAAAGCTGTTAATGCAAATGCGGTAAATATTATGTCGTTGGGCTTTGTTTTAACATTCCTAATACTGCTATCACCCGAGCAGTTTACCGAAATTGGAGTTACCCTATAAAATTACCATTATTCTGGATAGAACCACGTGTTACCCCATTCACGTCTTACCGTGTGTCCATTCTATTTTTCCTCGCTTATTGTAAACTGTGCGATACTTTACCAGAAAATCCCTCGAAATTGTGAAAACAACTATTGCGTTTTGAATTGGCCACTTTTACGAAATGAAACAAGGATTTTTATCACATTTATAGATAATAAAATGGCTAAATTAAGGTGTTCTAAAAAGTATTTTTGAAATTGAGTAATTTCCTTGGTCTGTAATGATTTTAACTTTTCAATAAAACATCTTGGTTAATATAATCCCCGATTTTTTTGAAGTACATATTAACAAGTTATGATTGTACTTAATTTTCGATTGTTTCTAATACATTAACCCATAAATAAAATAAATAAAAAGTTTCGTGTTTAACATTTCGATAATAGTATTGAAACAATTTACACTTGTAGAGAGCTACCGTAATCTCAAAAAAACATTATTATAAAGCTACCATCAAATGTTTTGTAATAACTTTACTAACCTAAAAGTTTGTCACGACCGACAGTTTCATCGTATTTAAAGTCTTAACCTGTTTACAGCGGAAGATGAGGAATGGAATGAAGATACTGCGGCAGTTGAGGGAGGGAGTAAGAGGACTTGCAGTGATCAGGAAGAGGGTGACGAAGAAAATGACGCAGCTGAAAATGACATGCAGGATGATGATGATGATGCTCAACGAAATGAAGACAGCAAAGCGGATGACAACGAGGAATGCAATGCTGAGGATACTTTTGAAGGTGAGATTTAATAGTTATTGATTTAAACATTTCAAAGGTGTGTAGCTCTTGTACCTATAACTGGGTGGATAAAGTATTAATAACTCTGATGCTGTTGAATATTTACACATAAATAAACAAATAATAACCCGGTTATTAATGTGAAAAATAATTAGGTAATTAAATACCTTCTTCAGTCAGAAGACAAGCAGACATCTCATCTTCAGTCTGCTTGCGACCACGACCTGTTCAACCAGGTCGAAACGACAAGCCTACCAAAGTATTAAAATAACTATTCTTCTAACCGAGGTATTTAAATAATTATTTTTCGCGTTAATACCCGCGTAATTATATGTTGTAAATATGAAACGCGAAAGTTAAAAAGTTAGTATAAGTGAACATGGTGTAATATTGGGAACACATTTAATTACAGTCAGATAGACTTGTTTAGAATTTTTCATTCTTTTTGATCATGATGATGATTTTATTAAGTTTTATGACGGTTGCCCAACGAAGTTGTATCTTCCAGAATGAACTGATTCAGGGATTATTAAATACTTTATGATATTAACACATTTTCTATGGCGTTGCATAAAAAAATAAGATTTGTTTGGCGTTAATTATCTCCTTTAACAATCAATAAGACATCTGATAAAGTAATGAGAATAATGATATATCCAATGCGTACAAGCGATTAAACGAGTATGTCCGTCGAAGCGGCTGGATACGGAGAGTGCGTGCAGTTTCGGCTGACACTGACGTAGAGGCGCCGATAACGGATGACATACGACCGGCGCATTGGGTGCACGACGTCCGTCTGCGAATGACACACGACACGACAGAGCGAAGCCATCGTTCTGATTTACGAATTGTTAGGAAATGGGCTTAGTTCCAGAAGATAGAACTGTGACTATGTTTTGCTCAACTTAAGGACATTTGAGAGTTATTATAAGGAAGACGATGTTTCTTGGTCAGTTATAGTTTAAAGTTAGAAAGAGAAAGAGAGAATCGTGGATAAGTTTAAAATATAAAGTGTTATTTAGACAAATATCTTTAATGTAACTCATAATTCTATTCATTACCACGTCTCAGGAGGGATAATTTACTATGATACGTATAAATATTCCTCAGTAATGGAATATCTCTTCAGTGAAATGTATTTAATACGCAGTTGGCACACATGTGAATAATTTATAGTTGTGGTATCGTCCGCACCCAGCACTTAGTCACGTGTCAGATGCATTTGATGCGCTGCACTATTCACTGGTCGGTTTATCGACTCCCATCCATCGTCAGATTAGTCAGCCGCTCGGTACTCGCAGATCAGTTTAAATTCCTAAATAGCGCGAATACATTACACTGATACATTGGGAAAAGCCTATTCTGTTGGTCTCGTGGTTGAAAATATAATACCTGGACACCTTTGAGGAATTCTTGTAAATAATTAGCATAGAAGTGTATCTTTTGAACGATAATTGATTGGCGTGTAAATTATAGCTATCTACGTGTGCCACTTCTCTCTATATACCAAGCGTGATGTTGTCATTGAAAAGAACCATTTATTCGAAGCTTCCTCACGCTTCAAGACGTCCGCTCTCGAGTGAATTGTGGGGAACCAAGAAAAACTCTTGAGCTCAATGCATTTACATTATCGTCTTTACTTTTGGCTTGTCATATGCGGCCCCAGGTGACGGATCCGTCGCTCCAGTCGCGAAGGGTTTTATGATTGTTGAGTACATGTATAATGAATGGCGTACTTTAGAATTTAGGAAGATCGATCGTCACTGCGACCTACTGACGACTTTTTCACGTGAAATACTTGATTAACCTGCACACAAGTTCCCTTAAATTATATGGCACATACATAGTTGGTTCACATTACGTTCTATATTCAAAAGTATCTGCTACTTATTGGCTATTTGGCCACTGTGGAACAAAAATGTTTTTCCTTTTACGTAGGTAAACAAATATAATATTAATTATTACTTTGTGTGTTTGTCAATAGGTATGTGGTATCTGTTGAGGTTAGACCACCTAATATCTGTAGAGATATTAACATTGCTTTCATATATATGGACTAGTTTAGTATTGTAGTAGGTAGTATGTATTATACTTATCAGTATTGGTACACATATCTGTAGCTTGTACTCAAGTTGAAACTTTTTCCGGTTTTATTTTTTTCTCTTAAAAGATTTAGGATTTTCTCCCGTGTCGTAGGTGCGTTTACAAACATACAATTCCACATACACATCACACTCGGACCCGGAACAATAATTTGTGGATCACACAAAGAGTGGTTCCGTGCGGGGTATTGAAGGTTATAAGATTGTATAACAACTTCAGATTTAAGTGTAATTAACCTTGTCTATATAAGCTAATGGAATTACAAGTTTGCTAACGTTTGTAGACAAGTGCTTATATGGAAAGTTGTACGCCGCCCATCCGACACGCTTATTTTACCCAGCAAAGAATTGGGATAGTAATGTTTGACGGCTGAACGTAGAGAACAGAAAGGATGCCATTATCATAATATTATGTTTCGTCAATTGGGTAGTTTTCTAGGTCAGAAATTAATTATTTATACTTTGCAATTCAATTAATTATTAAAATTTATTCATATTTTAATTCATCGATTTGACGATATACTTAAATATACAGATTTCATCTGTTTAAGTTTTAAAAAATAAGTATGTTGTTTGACTTACTTTTAATAGTTATGACATCATACCAAATTCATAGAAAAGCATCGCTTTTGACTTTTCAATTTGACTAGTTGGAAACTACTCAATTACAATGGCTAAACGTGACACATTTCTTATTAGATATCCTTGAATATTAAACTAACACATATAAGTACCAAGTAAACAAAGTTATTTATATAATTAAAAGTAGTATTAATTGCTGCAGATGGTGAAGATGGTGAGCGGAATGAAACAAAAGAAGAAAACTATCAGACAGAGGACGTGGCAGGTAAGATCAGTACAACTAACCGACAGTAGTTCTAGGTACCCAATTTACAGAACAGCAGAAACGATAAAGATTAATGTAGGTAAACGATGAATAAATTATTTCAAACTTTCCAGGGTTGAGATAAGAATACACTATTTAATATCACGGAGACCTCTGAGCGAGGCTCATTATGTCTTAATCTCATTGAAATTCATAAGGAGGCCACTAAAATAACGAGCAGCCCCGGGCCTGGGCACGCAGCCGATGCGTTTTTACTGCGGTTTAATGCTCTTTTTACAACTTCGTCAAAGGGTGTGCTGCTGCGCCGCGGCTGGCGCGTGGCGACGCTGCTTTACGACTCCGTCCTCGCTTATCTCCCGCCATTCGTGATAAATCTCCACCCGGCTCCTTGGACCTCAAATATTTACATGCTAATTCGTAGCCAATTCTGCACCAGAGATTATAAATAAATTGGCCACCGCGCCCCATCATCGACCGAAGCTACCTTCATTTTATCTTTCATGACTTGAGAAGTTTTAAAAACATTGCCCAAGCCACCGCGTTGACGTTTTAATTTTATGCCACCCAGATAATTTAGCTTTTATGTTAGGTACCTAGTCGTTACGAAATCTTTGCAAGAGTTACTGGAGTTGTAAATTTTGTATTTCTCCCCCTACTCATCATCGAGGAAAATATAAAATAAGCATTCTTCTAAATTTATTTTTTACAAAGGAAGATTCAAAGATTTTATGTCAAATATGAAATGAACATTTATTTATAGGATACCAAACAAAGGGAAATTTACATTCAGGAAACGCCGAAGGACAACTCTTGTCGAATGGTACGTCGTTATGCCTAGGTAGTCTAGGTAGTTTGAGTACCTCATAGCTATTCAGGCTCGTACACTATGCAATAATAGGAAAGTAACATGTGACAAACAATGGACCCGTCTTCCAAGGCACCCTTAGAACAATAAAGACTCATTGTTTCAATTTATGGCAAGTCCTTTGAACATTCTATGGAACTTGTCGAATGGGATGGTGCAGGGATAATATGAAGCATGCAGGCTTTGTTTTGCGACACGTCTTGGACTATCTGCGGCAGTATCGGAAAATGAGTAATTTTTCCCAGTGAGTGGTTCCCGGTGTCGCAGTCGTTGTTAGGCCAACACTCGTGTTGCGCAAATGTATTCTCTGCGGGGGTGAGTGGTGGTGCGCGGGGTGCGGGGGCGGGCGCGGGCGCGCGGGGGCCGCCGCCGCTGAGCCCGAAGTTGGGCGCGCGGGCTCGCTCCCATGGGACAGCGCCGCAGGGACCGCACTCCATACCAACATATTACAGACTTTCCTTAAATTTCCACAGAACCAAATACTTTATTAGGTATGTCTGAAAATATATAAATTACAGTATAAATAGAAGTTCCAAAATTTTCAAATATAGATACACAATTTGTTAGCCTTTGTCCGAAAATATGGTATTGATGACGTCGTCTAAGTATGTCAATTTAATCCTAAACATTATGTAAGTTATTCTGTCAACTTAGACGGGCAACAATGCTCGCTATGCTGGTCGGATGGAGGCCGGTGTCTCGGCCGGCATGTGGCTAATTAAATGCCGATGTTCGACATCGGGGGTGCATTCGGAATTTCACGCGGCGCCTGAGCGCGTGCCGGCGACACCGCGCCGCGTGCCACCTTGTTGTTGCGTCAACAATCCCGAATTGTTCACAAACTCCGACCCGAATTCTGCCAATAATTGTGATTAAATTGTTACGTAACCAGATAACCCGTTTGAGTTATTCAACATCTCCGACGTGGTACCTACGGCTTCGAAATACAAGCATCCTTACAGTTGTAGTAACCATAAATACTATTAGGTACATACAAACTCTTTCTTAATTAGTACTTTTACCAATTTAAGGAAAGAGAAATAAATTAATACAAATTTTTAAATATCCGACATAAAAGTATCGTGGTGATGATTGGAGTGCGGCTCTGCATGATCCCAGGTGGCGCGGCCGCAGCGTTTGGAATTATCACATAGTGGAGGAGTGGGCGGCCGCGGGGGACGCAAGGGGGGGGGGGAAGGCCCGATACATTCGTCACAGGCCCAGCAGCCATTAGGCATTTAGATATTATCAACAGCCACGAGGGGATGACCCGCGACCTGAGCCCGTTGTTTCAATGCTTAATTACTAAAAGTGTTTGTTGTTTACACAAGGGAGAAGATTTTAATCCACATCGTGGATATCGTTTCGTCATCGACCAACTCGAGTACTTTGTTCTGTTTTGCTGATACAAAGGCGTTCATCGTTTACGTCTGTTACTGTCTCCCCTCGCCGGTGCCGGGGTCCCAGGTGCCGTTCTCCGGCCACACTTCCTTCCGTCTCCTGGGAGTATTCCTCGACCCGGCCACGCACACATTTACATTCTGCACTTGTATTGAACGTTACACAACTTTGTTAATACTTGTGACTATTTCAACATAATTAGATTATATGCGAGTCCTTTTCAGTCATATAAGAAGAAAGTAGAATCGCAAAATATGTTTTGTTCGTTTGATAAGTCAAGAAGAACTTGTTATGGGTTGTTTCCACAGTTGTTTCTAATTAGTAATTAAACGCAGTTTAGTGTGTGGCGTATTGTGTATTTCGCGCGGCGCGTAGTCGGTGGCGCGATGGCGGCTCGGATCGTGATTAATGCAGCCTCCCGGGGCAGACGAACTGATTGCCGTTCCGTCTCCCCCGGGCACCACTACATACACCTATATTTCAGTTTTATCATAAAAATGTTTTCGGACAATCTTTTCAGTTATTACGTATTCCTGAAACATGTTTGCTAAAACTTGTAAGTTGTAACCTTGTCAGTCTTAAACATATAAGTATATATATTGAGTTATTTGCAAGAGCCTGTAGATGTAGATGTGATACACTACGGCTAACTAAATGACTTCACGTGATTGTACGTGAAACAATAAAAACAGTTATGTAACAAGTAATTGGAAACATGCATAACAGACACAAAGCCAGTGAAACTGAAAGTTTAAATGTCAATGCTTTGTTGCGGACATAAACCTGTTGAAAAAACTTTTAATGATACGCTGCGAACAAACTAGTTGTGTGGCACGTGCCATCAATATTAAAGCAAAGTTTTACAACGCCAACATTAAACGTTATAATGCTATCAACATTTAAAATTTACATAAAAAAACGACAAAGGCATTGTCTCTTATTCTTGTTAAACGTGACATTTCAGGCATTACGTAACGTAAGCACACAGCTGAGCACTACATAGTGTGCGCTTTGTTATTTTTATTCAGTGCTACTTGAAAAAGTTTTCTCCGGAGAGGCATATCGGCATCAGTCCGCGGCGTTACCGGAATAACACCTTCAGTCTGAATGGGTACGCGAAAGGTAGCGCGTCTCAGGGGAGCAGTATGCTCAAGGCGGCAGAAAATTAACGTGCCCCCGCGGGAAATCTAGCGGCAGCCTTAGAGCCCGGCCGCCCGGCCGCGCCCACTCCGTGGGGATGTATTTAATATCTTGCGCTCGCGGTGACGACTAACCGACTAACGACATGGACACAGACACCTTACAGTACCCACGCTTGCTTAGTTACTGTTACTTGGCTTGCGTGCTAAGCGATAAGCGATAATTATAGTTTATTGTTGTATAGCATTAATGGCCAAGATTCTTTGTTGGACTTGCAAGTCTTGCGTTAGGCATTTACTTTAGTTTTATGGATTTGGTTGCATTTATCTAATTCTGAATCAATGCTTCCGCGCTATCAGTAAATTTTCAAACATTATATGCACTAACTTTTGCGCCAAAAAACCCTGCTAAAAATGAGAGCTAACGGAAAGAACTAGTGTAGGCATTATACTTTTCTTGAACTCTTACATAAATTACTCAGTTAACATTCAGATTTAATTGCCAACATAAAAACAGTAAAAAAATCATAAGTAACGTTTCTTCCAACTGTCGGTACTGTAGAAGATCATCGAGTTCTCGAGCCGCATTTAATAGGACTCGATACCACAAATCAAATGGCACAGTGATATTAATTAAACAAGCGCCAATCAAACGGCAGACACAATACAAGTAATCAGCTAATCGATCAATTACTCGCGGCGTGGGGACACTTAGCGCTAGTTACACTCTCACGCAGATTAATTTAGCATCGGCAAGGAGACGCCGTCCCATACGGCTTTACTAATTCACAAGATCCAATCGCTGCGGTGAGCGGCGCCTCTGCACATTAATGTTGCAAGCTGCCCCGTGCTCCTCTATTATCTACTTACTTAGCTCACGTGCCACTCACGCTAGTATACTTATACCCTGACAATGTTGCGGTTTAAACGTATTAATTACAATGTTTAGCCAACATTTTGTATGTGCTAAGCAAGTTTATACTTACCTACTGATGTAAATAAGAGCCTGTTTTGTATAAAAAAATACATAAGAATTACATAAAGAGCTGTAAAAAAAATGTTTTGGTTATAGTAGGTACGACCCTGGGTTGTATCAATGTCTAGCAAAGCTAAATATCACACATTTTTGGGTGTATTCGATTGAAGTTAACTTTTCAAAGAACTAATGCTTGCTTTAAGATAAGCGATATTGGCATTGAATATAGACCGCAATAAGGTATATCATTAATCCGTTAATCATGGTAATTCGAGACACAATACAAGAACAATAGGTGCGCGGACGCCGGCATTCCCTTAGGGAGTGATGAATTAAATTACCCAATATGGAGACTTCCTATTTTTCGTAGCAACTTACTACGAGATAATTGATCCACGTAGCAGTCGTAAAAAGTTATGTTTTTCAGAAATTTCAGATATTTGAGGTTTTTACGGTCAAGATAGGTATCAACCTATATAGGTATGTTGACAGTGCCAACTGAAAACTTGTCTTGGGTGCTCACTAATGCTGAGCAAGCAACCCACTTGGCGCGGCCATATTGCTAGCGTGTTTTGTTTGAGTTCTTATTTTCCGGGTATATTTTTCTTTTTAGTTTTACTGCATCATGCCTGCCTGATGCCAAAATTTCTATAAGTCTATATTAGATATAAAAAAAATAGCCTGAAATCTGTTTGGCAGCGTAAGAGATGTTGAGGAATTGTGTCCAGTAAATGCGGAGCGGACCCATTTATGCAGCAGTCATGGCTCACCTACTCTTCTTTATTTTAGTGAAACCACGGAATCTAGAAATGCACTTATTGAATGGCAAATTTGTTTCACTCCCTATAGTCCCTATTACATGGGAATCCTAAAAATAACTAGTGAATAGTTACTAAGCAAGTAGTATAGGTACCTCTCTGCTTACCTCTTTTTGGGATTAGTCAAGACTTTTGAATATCGACTGGTAATTTTGTTCCACCTGATATGATTTATGTATATACGTGTAGATGGTTATAGTGTAAAGGGGTGACTGCATATCTAGTCTGTAACGAAGTCCCAAGAGACGGACGGCGTCCGGGGACGGGCCGGAGTCGGCCGGACCGACATCCTCCTGTCTTACATACATAACCTGTACCTACAGGACTGTATGATGTAAAGTAAAGAGGAACGTATTTATTATTAATTAATAAACGCGTCTTATAGTCTAGTATTTTTTATTATTGTTCTACCCAGCATTTTTTCGTGTATTTGTCTCATTAGTTTTGCTGTATGTATGTACATAATACCTATGTATTGTATATCGCAATCAAACACTATTTAATTGACCTATAAAATAAATTCACTTTCACTGTTCCCATATCCCTATGTATGCTTTAATCTTCAAAACTATGCAACGGATTTTGATGCGGTATTTGAGATAGGTAGTTAGAGTTTATAAGTAAGTATAATAACATCCATTTAATAAAAATCTAATTAACAGTTAGTAGGTAACAATTTATTTTGAGTGTCATTTCCTACATTTTAACTTTTTAACAAGTTTATTAAAATTAGTCAGAATAATAATTCGCAGATCATAATTAAATACGGCATCAGGATGGCCTAGTGTATGGTTTAGGATTATTTCAAACCCTATACTTACCTGTATTTTAACAAAAAAAAAAACATTTAATATTTAAAAAAAGAACCGCTAGCAAACATAATGTGTAATATCCTTTTTACAGTTTTCAACCTTATTTTTCAATTTAAAAACCATTTTCCCTTTTGCTTTACTCATGCTAACTTACGAAAATAAAAGGTAAAATGTAGGTGTTATGAAAGTTAGAAAAAGATTTCGGTTTCTGTTAGGGAGCAGTAACCGCACAGAAGTTCGTGTGCCGGGGCCCCGCGGCGCGGTCCGCGGTCGAAGGCTCTAATCCACTTTGGCGCCGTATCGAGACAACTCCAACCCGAGACACTTTTCCTCTGTTTTAAATTCGGATACGTTATCCAGTTTAAACTTTCAGTCTAATTTTCTAGTTTGGTTTGCCCCTTCGTACATTTTGGTATATTTATGTAGGGACCTACCTACATACGTGTTTATGTAAATTACTAGGCAGGGTAGATATGTTTTTTTTTATTTAGATGTTAGTACCTATAATATTATTATAAAATTAAAATTGCTCATATACCTATGTATACGAAGTAGGTATTTCAGTAATTTAACACAAGGATCCTGTTCAAAATATCAAATTCATCACAATATTTTTCAAAAAGAAATAAAAAGGCATCAATTAGGTAGGTAATATGGGAGATCTTCGCACTAACCGCTTCATTTCTTTGGATCACCCTATTGTAGATTGTCACAGAATGCCTTCAGACAT